GGGTGGGGGCAGGGGACTTGGTGAACTTTCACAAGTGAGATTCTTACTCTCGTCTCTCTGCCGGCTCTTGCTTAACTATATGGCAACAAATCCATCCGCTAGTACCGGAAAAAAAGGAAAGGTTGATGAATGTTATGTTGTCTCTGATTGGTAATAAAACCCATCTCACTCTGCCCCTGCGCTGCCATGCCACGCCTCAGTAGGGCCTTGTGCACGAGGTCTGTGGAAAATTACCACTCCCAAGAGCTGCCAGAGACCATCCGGGGAAAATCCCCAAGACCCCCACATTGTCTTATGATAAAGAACAAAAACCTGCTAGGGTTTTGCACTGATCACAAACCAATTAAAGCTACTGCATGTTTGGGTTTTATTGTTTTATTTTAAGTTGTTTTCACTTTTCTTACCTAAACTTTTCTGATGTTTCCCAGGTCTGTCTCACACACCCCGCTCTGAAAAATCAGAAATCTCTTTCACAATAAGCAAGGAGGAAACATATAAGAAGTATGTGGAGAGCATGGCGGCTTTTCTGACACAATATGATGATGACAAGCAGGAGGATGACATGAAGTATGAGGATTGCGGAGGCAAGTATTAGAGATGGACATAAGCTGTGAAGTTATCTTTTTTTCTTTCATGTAAACATTATGAATGTGTACAGCTTTGCCTTACATTTCTGGATTTAACTGGTTGTTGTTTTATTTTTTTGTAGGAACCCCCTTATCCTACATAGACCGTGGTATGTTGGATGATAAGGATTTGGGTACTAGGAAAAGCTGCCGTTTCAGTAGAAACGTGCTTGGAAGCTGTGACGGGATAGCCGACCCCACTTTCGGTTTTAAGGAAGGGAAGCCGTGCCTTATTGTGAAGCTCAACAGGATTGTCAATTACAGACCAAGGGTATGTGTCCTCTGCTTTGAGCTGCTGGGTTGATATTGATTGGGGCAGACTAACATATATACAATGTTACAGACATGTTCTTTAAACCCACTAAAAACTAATGCAAATAGCCCCATTTACACTACCCTTTTAAAACTGTGACGAGATCAGTCCGGAGACGAGGAACCGCACTAGCGTGATGTGTAGACGGTCTTCAGGAACACGGATCGGCTTTCACAGGGTAGTGTAAATGGGGCTTATGTCTGTGACAGAAATTTACCAAATAGTTAACCTATGGAGCTTAAGACACGTTGGTTTTCGAGTCTCCAAGCACAATGTTCCAGAGTAAAGAAACATCAAAGTTGGACAGGGATTACTCAAATCTTTCAAACAAAAAGCCGGCTATTTTAATTACCATGCGACATGCTGGCTTCTTTGCCTCTAAATGGCTGGTTATAGTCCCGCAGCAGTGTGTCGCAGTGAGCTTGTTGGAGATATTTTGCTTTATACCCGATATCGGAGCGTAGTCTGCAAGAGGGACAATCACAAACTAGCTGTGGGTCTAGATACGGCCGAGGCGGTGAGGAAGTGGGGGCAAGTTTGTGCGACAACGAAGGGACATGAGAGCGAAAAAGAGCGCGGATTGAGGTGGAAGAAGGGTCCCAGCATTCTCTGCACCTCGCTCTACTAGCTGGTCCAACTTCATGAGTTGTTTTCCTCAATGGCGGTCATATAAACAAAATGAGCCAGTATGGTACCAAACAGGAAATACGCATAGTGTAGAGCGGGTGTAGATTTGACCAATCAGAGGTCTCCTGTCTGCTGCACTGTCTGCGGTCACCTACAATCTTGGAGAGGTGCAGCAGAGTGTCTGCAGAAGGGGCGGAGGCATATTGGCATTCACTGCGACACACACGCAGACGACCTGGTTTCTGAGTATAAACCAGCCTTACAACCTTTACCCTGTAGAGAAGGAAGATGGGACTTGTGGATTATTTGATAATGGTAGTAGTTTGAAAGGGGGCAGGGAAAAAAAACTACAAAAATGTCTGCATGTTTGCATCAAATCATACGTGCCAAACATTTTAGAAAACTGGACATGAAGTTTTCCAGAAGATGTTTCACCTCTGATCAAAGAAGTTTCTTCAGCTCTAACTAGTGGGTGGGAAAGCACTGAGATTATAATTCTGTAGGTCTAACGAAGAATTAGGGGGGACAAAAGGTGGCTTTGATCCCTCCCACTGGATTGGAAAATGAAGAAACTGGTTAATGGTCGTTAGAGCGTTCTGATGTGTTGTTAACTTCCTCTCATCCAAGATGCCTCTTCGATGACAAACATCTTCTAGAAAACTTTACGTCTAGTTGCCTAGACTGAACTTTTCCAAACAAACTTCACAGATATGTTTTAGAAAACTGTGTCCCACCAGTGGGGTACGGGACCACAGGTGGTTGGAGATTTTAGTTCTGTCTCGTTCAAATAGAACAATAACTTCAGTTCAGAATCTCACCTTTTGCATATCATTCAGAGCTGAAGAAGAAAATAAAATCCAGATTGGGAAAGATTAGCCTTTTAAGTATTTCCAAAGAACAAGATTTGTTTTTCTTAGACGCTAAAGACTTGAATTCAGCTAACTAGTAGTCCACAGAAACAAGCGGGGGAGGGGTATTCTGCCTAACTAAGAACGAAGTAGATCATCTGGCAAAGGAGTGGTGCATTGTTTAATGTTTCTTTGTTTGAAACTGGAGCCATTTTGATTCCACACCTTTTTCAAAACCTTGGTAAACACTGCTATCAATGACATGCCTGTGCAGACTCATTCCTGTGGGAACAACCTGAGGAAAAAAGACGAACAAAACAAAGACTGGTTGTAGGTCACATTCAGGTCTTCATTTGTAGTTTTTTGCAGATTGATGCCGAAAATGTTAGTAGTTCTAACATTTCTACAAGAGCAATAGCTTTACTGAACATACAGCAATTAGCCCAAGCTATTACATCACATCTCCGCTGTTATGTTTAAGTGTGATCAAATGTTTTCTGTGAATAAAAAACAGCTCAAATTCAAATCTTTAGACCTAAAGCTGCTGACAGATAGTTTAACATTTGCATGATAGACCTAGATGTTTTTTTTTTTTTTTTTCCGTGCAACCAATTTAAGCTCCTGGCATTTGAACTAAACTGCATTTATGGGAAACTAATACAGAAAAAAGTGTAAGATCACACCGGAAACTTGTTCACTATGGAGTATTTGTCAGCGTGGTTTCTGATTCTGATTCAGGTGGTTTTCAAAGACATGCTTTACTTGATAGGAAAACCCAGCAACATTAAACATGATTGTTTCACATACAGAAATGAGTCAGAAGTTTCTATAGGTGCACCGAAGCTGCCAAGTTAATCAAAACAGCATGTGGTGCTTTGATTAAAAACATTTTAACATCATCTAAAGCAACCTAACCAAGCTGTAGTATCATCACTCGGGTTCAGAGCAACGCTTTGACAGGATTAATTATTTCTGTCATCCATTTGTTTCCTTAGGTTGAATTTACTTTAGTTCTGTAAATTAAGAAAAAGTAATTTTGGGATGCTGCTGATCAACCACTGCTTCTGTTTTTAGGCTCCCAAGAATGAATCACTTCCAGAGGAGCTGAAGGGCAGATCCTTTGATAACGTCATCCCGATTAGCTGCAAGAATAAGGTAGAGTTATGTATGTTTCTTCCTTCTCTTCAAGGATTACTGCCTTGTAGAGAGACCTAGGCTTCCCACAGTTTATTTCCATTAACTCAGCAATTGATGCTTACAGAGGGAAGAAGACGAAGGCAAGATCGCAGGGATCAAGTACTATGGCATAGGGGGTGGTTTCCCTCTCCAGTACTACCCGTACTACGGCAAAAGGCTGCATCCCCACTACCTGCAGCCTCTGGTGGCAATCCATTTCACCAACCTCACCATGAACGAGGAGCTCCGCATCGAGTGCAAAGTGTACGGCGAGAACATCGACTACAACGAGAAGGACCGCTATCAGGGACGCTTTGACGTTAAGTTCGTCATTAACTCGTGACCCCAGGCAGGATGAGCGCACAATAAACATAGAGAGGTATTCAAGAGTTCAGATAAAACACCACTAGTCTTTGAACATTCATTATATACAGGACCTACACTTAATCCGTGTGCTTTACACTAGCTTTTCCGTGTTTTCTGTCCAGAGTTAGAATGTAAAATACAAAAAAAAAGTAGCAATAGCAAATATTTATTCTACTGTAAATGAAAAAAAAAAATCCTCAAGCCATGGGATGTTCATCGATTACTGTAAAACTGCAGTTTCACTACTGATGTGTAGCGACTTGTGTCTCTGTCCCCATGGTGTTTGCTCCTCACGTGGTTTCTATATATTTTTGAAGTGTCCAGAGTTTGTAGGCTAGTCCTGTCGTGATCTCCTCCTGTCTTATGTCTGCTTTAGTGGTCCAAGGTGTGTGTATGTGTCGCTTGCTCGTGTCTGTGCAGGCGGTGTTAATGTGAGTGCGCGGAGTGTTTGTCAATGTGCTCAGACTAACCGAAATACTAGCATGGTACTCTGAACCTTTAAGGCCCCAGATGTGAATAGATGACTGCGCTCCATCATTTTTTTTTTGTTGTCGTTTTGTTTTGATGCCTTTCTTTATTCAAGTTTGCTGTAGATTAATATGTTTGTTTTTGTTCAGCTTCACAATTAGATAGATTTAGATGAGATTTTCTCTTTGATACTCTTAAAATCCGCTCATTCTTAATTCATTAGTGTAAAGCTTTGTGGGTCCAGCCTCAGAAGACTGTCACCTCCATGGAAACCGTGGCAACTCAGTGCTTTGAAATCTGTTTTGCTGGAGACGTCACGTTCCGTGATGTAACTTACTATTGAATGTTTTAGCCATTTTCGTAATGGAAGAATTTTATATTTATGCAGTTGTACATTTTTTTTTTCAACATGTGATGTTTATGAATCCAAAACCAAAGTCGCTGGTCTAAAACTTTCGAGAAAATCAGAGGCAATGCAGTATCCCGTGTTATAAGATGTTTAGTGGGTGTGAAAAAAAGCAACAACAAAAAAACTTAATTCAATGTTTTAGATCAAAACAAATGTCAGGAGTCTGATCTTGTCACTTTATTTAATCTGCATAAGGCTGAAACAATAAACAGAAAATTGAGACAACATTGAAATCTTGCAGTGTGTGGTGAAGTGTGACTCGTCCTTTGTTTTTTTCTCATCCGTCCAAAATCTGGAAGAAATACTCCACCTGGAAAAGATATTTTCAAGTTAGTGTGCAGTTTTTCAGTAATGCACACAAACACTGGTTGAAAAGGGGTTGACTTTTAAAGCAGGGTTTCTAAAGGAGCTCAGAGAGAAAAACTGCTTGTTCTGCTTTAGATGACATCAGGAGAGTGACGAAAATCAGCTGGTTACAAAACACGGCTGGACTTTAACTGATTTCTACATCCATCTGTAATCTTTCAGTTTCATTCCAGCCTCCTATGGTCTTGTTCACAAACTTTTGTTTGTTATATAATTGATCATTAAAATCATTGTTGCCATAGCTGTTCAGGCAAAAATCTTTGGAGGAGGAACCAAAATAAAACAAAATGAAGAGGGAATAAAAAAAAAGAATTAAACCTTCATACATTAAATTTTTTTTAAACTAAACCTTTTTGTATTGGTGGCTACCGGAATCTAAAGGTAGTTTGGTTTATTAATGAGACATACTGGTTCGCAGCTGAATCAGAGTTTCATCTGAATGAATGCTTTATGTCTGCTGTGAGAATTCCAGGTGTTGGACTTCAGACACTCTCTCCTCTGCACAAGCCCTTTCTTGGTCATTCTGTTTTAGTCTTGAGAAAATGGCAGCTTGGCCAGCCATGGGCTAATGTTTAACAAGGAAGCGTTTGTCCAGCGTACAGATCAGGAGTTTTCCTGAACAATGACGTCCGATTGGTCAGACCCACTCCCTGCGAAAACAATGGTTTTGTTTCAAAATTCCTCTGCCACTCTTGTTCTCCTCAAAACCAGCGTGATCTGAGGTTGCCCCGGCCCACAGAGCGGAGTCATGGGACTTGTCTAAAGACGCGGCTTCACAGAGTTGAGGGGAGCTTTGTTCTTGGCCAAAAGCAAGGTAGCCGTTCACGCACGGGCTGCCGGACAATGAGGAGACTTATTTGTGGGGTGAGAATGTGTGGGAGAAGCATACAGAGCTTTTTCTAGCCACACACTTCAATACCGAGACAGAGTAAAACAAAGTAGTGAATACTTTTGAACTACGAAAAAAAATCTGAAAAGTGTGGCCTGCTTTTGCCTGCTTTTCCTGCCATTAGTGCTTCAGATCTCTAGGAGTACTCTAAACTTGGAGTGTCTTACTGCAGATTCTCAGTGGGATTAAAGTATTGACTTAAAGCAAGATGCTTTGTTATAAAGTGTATTTCAGCCTCTTATTGATCTGTATTTATCTCCATCTAATCACATGCAATGTGATCAAATTACACACAGGTGGGCTCTAATTACAAACTAGGTGACTTGTCAAGGCAGCTTGATTGTATTTAGTGGCATCACAGTGAAGAGGGGCAAAATAGAACCACAGGATTGTTTGTTAAGAGTAAAAACATTGCGTTTCCTTTTATTCTATTACCTATTTGTAAATAATGAGCTAGCATAACGACATGTGAAAAAAGGCTGACGGGTGGATTAAACTGAGTGACCCACCTCCAGAACACCGTCCTCTGGAAGGTCTGTGCAGTGCACCGCGTTTCTCACGATGTCCTTGCCATAAAGGGCGCGCAGCGTGTTGGGACGGAGAAGGCGTGCGATTTCCTGTTTGAAAGAAAACAGCCTGATTGTTATATCTTCCCTGATTAACACAAGGACACATCATCCTATTTGTCATTCAGCTGTGACTTTCAGCAGCAGTCTGAGACACACAACGCTGCAAACTTCTGTGTCCAAATGTCAAACCCCCCCCGCCTGGTGTGGATGATGATACAGCTGATGCTGGAAACCGAACATCCTGTCCTCCTGCTGTGTTAATAAAACTGTGATTACTCAGCAGCTGATCATGTGATCCTGGAGAAGAAGCACCACAAAAAAAAAAAAAACTAGTGACACTCAGCAAAGCTTTGATATAGGAGCGTCAAGTTATTTTTAAAGCTTAAATGCGAGCAACAGGCCCCCTCTGTTTGTCGATACATGCATTAAAACTTCCACACAACCCCAACCTATTTTAACAGCAATATAACTAAACCCTTTTCTTATATATTCTGTAACATTCATTCCCAATTCCTCTTTCCTCCCCCCTGTTGCTCATAAACAGCGAGGCCTCTCTTTTGAGTCAAAATGACTGTTTCCTTTCTACATCAGACACTCCCAAGGTCAAAGCTGGGCTTGGTTCTCCTGCCCGTCTCCAGGAAATGCAGCCCTCCAACAAGATCTGTGGTAAGAGGGAGGGGCAGGGTGTACATAATTCATTCAACAAGAGGACTTTTGACCCTTGGACTCCTGCAATCATGGATAATAATTATGGATGCTGTGTGGTAAGAGGTTTGGTCAATAACTGGACCCTCCATGCATGAGAACACACACAGAAAAGGGCTGTTTGGACAGAGGAGTAAGGTGGAATCTTCAAGGACGTCAGGAGGTGTAGTTCCTCTACGGACCACCTGGTTCCGTTTTAGGTTCTTTTAATGTCTCTCTACTGGTTAATGATCAATTCACATCGTAGGTACATTTTTAACTAGAAACCACTTTAACAAATCCACCTGAGTGCTACGATTAGCTAGCCTCCCCTAATCTTTAACAAGCAAAAGCAAATAATCACGTTTTTTAATCAATCAGTTTGATTCTGTTGCTGTCTGAGAACAAATCCTTCAGCAGAGCCTGAGAGTCTTTGCTCTCCAACCTTTATTTCACTGTAATGTCTTCGTTGTATCAGTAAAAGGTACACTGTTTAGCATGTTAGTATTTATATAAACTAAAGGAAGTAGATGTAAAATTAAATGACTGAACCGGAAAAGGGGTGGGGCTAAATAAGGGCAAACTTCCACCTTTATCTGAAATGATCCTCAATCATAACTACGTCTTCTATGTCTTCCTAATTACCCATCCAGGGTGCATCCAGTGCCTCATCAAAACACTTCTTTAGATAGGTACAACCCCCCCTCAGAGAACATGCAAGGATAAGTAGGGAGTGGAGGGATGGATAGATGCCACCAGGGTAACATTGTGGTCAGGTTTGGTGAAAAAAACCTTAAAAAAAAAAAGAAAGAAAAAACAAATAAAACTTTACATTTTGGTTTTCCAGACATAATCTGAAAAAAAAACCTGTAAGAATGATGGTGTTTAAAACCTTTGAGGTGTATTTGTTTCTCATCAGAATATCATCCTTGTACCATTTTAGTACAAGATCCGATACTTTGAACATCTGTACAATCTAACCGTGGCTGCAAGATAAAATCACAAACACTTTTAGACAGACTGAAAATGGGTCAGCCAATCAAGTTCCTGTATTGTGGCTTAAGGCGGGACATATAGCTGTGAAGAAAACGCGGTGGTGCGGAAGGAAGTAGGTGTAGCTGCTTCTATCACATCCATCTTTGATCCTATCCGTCCTATCTCATCTTTAAAAGTGAAAAAAAGCGTAATTTTTTTATGTTTCTTAGCGTCGGCTGACTTGTTAAAACCAAACTTTGGTAGGTGGGCTCCCGGTGTCGCTTCACCCAATCGCCTCCAAAAGTTCTGCTGAATTTACCTCCCTGTTTCTCCAGATTGGAGGATTCCCAGATTAATTATTCTTATAACCCTGTTTTATAGCCAATCATTCCCATCGTAAAACTTTCCCCATCTTCCCAACAAAAACTAAACCTACAGCTCAGTCTCTTCTAATTCCTACATGAATTTATTATAAATAAATATTAAACTTAGAATACCATCTTTCTTTTTATATAATTAGTTAACTTTAAGTAAATGATTCACAAAAACCCCAACCGCAGAGACAAATCTGCAGCTTAATGCTGCTTTTCAAATGTCTGCATCCCAGAAGTCCCTAAAATAAATCACAGCCTGTTCAACAGCCCAGCTAAAAGAAAGGCTTTAAATCCAGCTCATCTTATGGCCCCTTTTTGTTTGAATACAGATTACAGTAGTTTCACACAAGCAAAGTTTTAAACTTACTAAATCAAACAAAAATATTGCTTCCTCGTATGAAAGCCTGCATGATGCAGCATCCATACTGTGCCCCAAAGGGAAATAAGGACAAATCTAGTTAGCAGTAGGAGAGTTTTTTTGTTTGTTTGCACAGACTGCTCCCTGTAACCATATGAGCTAAATATAAAGGTTTGGTTTTAATGAGTTTCAGTAGAGCAGACCAGCGTTCCTGTAACTAACCCTCTGTGGACGGTAATGACCCAGAAGTCACATGACAGCTCAGGGACGTCTAATGCTTCATGAACTGCTGACCCCCCCATCCTAGTAGTCATACTCCTGTGCAGATCTCAGCAGCTGATAAAAAGTTCAAACCTTTTTCAAGATTTGTTTTGATTGGGCACATGTGATTGTTTCACATCATCAAAGTTTTATAAGTACTAATTAGCATTTAATCAGATCACAGAAAATAGAACAATATTTTTTGAATCATGATTTTATTTATCCCAGAAAATAAGATATGAATGAGCTCAGTTTTTCAGCTTCCCTACATGGAAAACCATGGAAGCTGTCTGTCACCTTCAACTTAAGCACACCTGGATTATGCAGCAGGATAAACAATTGGTTAAATAAGGCAAAATGAAGGGTTTTCAGTGGCCTAGTCAAAGTCTAGACTTAAATCTTGATTTCAATGTTTAAACAAACTGTTCCTACTGCTTTATAGAACCAATCCTGCAAATATGGTCGTTCCAGAATTTCTCCTCAGCAAGGCTGAGGACTTCTAGGAAAAGGCAGCACCAGTTCTTAACTTTGTAGAGCACATTTTTTGCATTTTTCTTTTTATGTATGATCTTATCTTAAAGGGGATTCTAAGACATGACAATAAGTTGACTTAGAACTTTTATACGTTTATCACAAACCATTAAAAATATTTTAATCCAGGCTTAACCTGCATTTAGTTGTGATCTGCTTGCTGGTTGGATTCCCTCTTCTAATTACGAGGTTTCTGAGGCTGCATTGAATTTCATTTAAGGGTAACAGAGTATTTATCATTTAACGGAAACCCTGCAGGCTAAATATAGCTCTGTAGTTATGATCTTCTCTGAAACTGGTATGGGAAAGAAAATCAATGGAGAAAACACAGCTAACAGCAGTTACAGAGCTTTTAAAGCCCATCTGATGGATGTTTGTGCTCATAACACACAACAATGCAACAAGAAACCACTGTTATTTTTAGCAGGGGGCAGGCATGGTTTACTAGATTACTGATTTAAAGTGGAAGGAGTAGATCTAAATGGAAGGCAGCAGATCGCTGTCCCCCTCACCCTCTATGGCTGACTGGCTGCAGAGCAAAGCAGCAGGAGGTTTAGTCGTGCATAAGTGTGCATCCCTTTTTTTCTGTACGAGTTTCCTCCACTGAGGAAACAGGCATTGATTCGGCTTCAACGGCCGTCAGCCTAGCTGGAAAACCAAGGTGATTCCCATTAGACCTCTGCTGTTTATAGATTAGTCAGCTAGAACAAATCTATAGCTTATTATTAGCACAAATAACTAAGCTTTTTACTGGTAAAAGACGTTCTGACCTTTTCCACCAGTGTGGAGTTATGGAGAAAGTTCAGTCTTATCTCTTAATGCGATAATAATGTCTGGAATGTCTTTACGGGCGTACGCTCCAGTCAACAAGTAAATGTCCCCTACTCTGTTTCCCACCCAAACACTGCGGCCTGAAACAACAAGTCTGCTAACCTTTGTGCTCACTCCTCAGGCCAGCAGCGTTTTACCCTCACGGGTCTCAGACAGCTGCGGCGACCGTCTGCTGCTAATGCTAAACAGCTCCACTCCCCCAGGATAGGGAGTGCAAACGTTTAGGTGAGCGGTGAGGAAATACTGCCGTGCATCTGAGGTCACACCACGATGAAGCAGCATGACCTCTCACTTTGAGTGTTATCAAAGCACTGACCCACAAAGAGTCCTGGGTGGGGTGGGAGGCCTGGAAGCAGCTGAGAGTGAGCCCTCTGTGCAGATAACACAACTACTGTTCATCACCTTGAAAATGTATTCAAACTCCATGAACTTTTCACACTTTGACATGACAACCACAACCTGTGATTCCATATGGTGGCACATATCTGTGAAGAGGCAGAAAAATGACGTGGATGTGTTCATCTGCACCGAGTTAATGCTTGGCAGAACCATCTGTTACTGCAACTACAGCTGGGAGAGATGCTATTAATTTGTTTATATAGAAGCAGATAGTTTGGCCTATTTTTCTTTGCAAAATAACTGCATCTTAGACAAATCCTCGCTGGAAAAACAAAACATCCCCACAACGCATAAAGCTCCCAGCTTACACTATGGATGGTGTGGTGAAAATTAGCCTCAGGCAAAAAAAAAAGAAAAAAAAGAAAAAGAAAGTCATATTTTAAGCTCCCATTACTAAACAATGCTTTTGTTTCCACTTTGACCAGAGTTGCGGTTCTCTGCAGCTCCTCTAAAGCTACTACACTGCAAAAATGAAATAAAAGCAAGTAATTTTTCTTGTAATAACTATAATTTCATCTGATTTAAATACAATTTGCCAATGGAATAATATGATATGTGAATAAGAATATAAAAATAAGATAAAGCAGTTCTGTTATCTTATTCTATAACAATTGTATAATATTTAATTATCTAAC